TTTTGTGACACCGTGTGACGAAAGGGGGGGGTCAAAAATCGCGTGACGTCATTTATGGACGGCCCCTTAACAGAACTTTAAAAAATATTATTTTAAATTTTCTTTTCTACCTACGTGACTTTACCGAAAGAACCAAAGAGTATAGATTCCTGCAGTCATGAAAGCTTCAAATCAAGATATAACTTTGAAACTCTGATTAGCACATCGTGTAGAGCTCGTCGAGAGGAATAGATAGCCGTGTCGTTCGCCTTCAACACACATAAAATGACGTCTCAACGCAGTTTGTGCGAGAGCCGGGGGCTTATGGGAGCCCGGGGTCCCGCCACAAGGTTCAAGTCATCTTGTGAAGCTCCCTTCCCGTGAGCGTCGACCAGAAGCCATACCCCGGCTCGCCAGGAGGAGGCAGCAGCACAGCGAAAATGTGGAACCCGCCCGTTGCGTCTGTATGGGATCGAGCGTTTCCCCCTCGTACGCGTGGGGTTTCTCCGAGTGCTCCGGCTTCCTCCTGCATGGATTGGCCAAAAACACATTGAAACACCTTGAAACACAGAGGAACGCAGAGCTTGGCCAGTTGTTGGCACCGGATCATCGCGTGGCTCCTCCGAGAGTGACCGAATTCTGGGCGCGTTCCAAGTTGCAATTTAACGAACGTGTACCTTGGGGCAGTTATTGAAGGCAGACCGTCGTCAAAATGATGAAATAAAGATGCGGATGAGAGGGACTTTGGAGGACTTTTGGGAAGCTAAACTTGAAATGAAAATCAGTCGAAGCATTATTATTTAAAATTAAATGATATCTTTACAAACACCTTGTATAATCAAGTCTTTGGGCTTGAAAATAACTGAGTGTGTTGCCGAATGACAGTTTCATTAAATCTCTCATCTCTGTGACCTACTTTTATACGCGATTTAGCCTGAGGATTATAATTCGGATGTCGTTCTAATTGTGATTGAGCCTTGCTTCGGTTAATGCTTTGTTTGCATCTGTTTCCGCCATTGACGCGCGCGGACGTGTGGCGCCTCATTCATCACTGTGAGCGCACGCGGTCGCTGCGAATACCGATTCACACCAGCCAGGGAAGACGCGACCTCCCGGTCAGCCAGCAGCCAGTACGTAGCTAAATCTATGTCACGACACATATACCAAGTGACACTTCAGTGTGCAAAGGGCCAGAGACCCTAACAACAATGAGGCCATTTAAATATGCAAGGTACCCTCATCGAGTCTTCAGACACTTTCTTTAGGACGGTTCTGAATTTGATGTTTGGCCATTTCCTTTGTAAAGGCCGTTTTGGCTGAAGGTAATTAAGGCTGCTTAAGGTTCATTTTCAACGGTTGTCACTCATAGAGTCAGACTAAGGCACTTATAGTTCAGTGGTAATCTTAGCCAAAAGTCACAGTGATCTCCTGCTCAAACGAGCGTTGCGAGTGCTCTACTCATCTCCCGTTTACATCCCCTGCAGCAGTGGTGGAAACTTTACACATTTCTATAGCAGATGCGAGTCGGCCCATAGGACAAAGACTGTTGACATTGCCACAGGTGATATTCAACTTATCGACCCGAGAGGGATGATGGGCTTAGTCAACCCATGGAAACGGATTTGTTGCCTCGCGTTCCATCACCGATCAGCCACGTGAGCGGTGAGAATGTGGATGCTTCGTTGTGAATGCCCCAGGCGAAGAGTTGCAACTTCGATAGAAGCGTAGCCGCGGGGAACCACCTGGTGTTGTTTTTAGTTTTGATTTGACTCCTCGTGTGCTTCTGTTACCTGCGAGAAGCGCCTGCGAGTCTGACGACTCTTCGTCAAGAGGGCCCTGCCTTGTTCACTTGGCCAATTCCACATTGGGTGAATTCGATCATCTACAATTTGGCATCGCGTTTTGATTCTTGATTCAGTGTTGTGTTTGCACTGTGCTGAATGTGGCCCTCATCCAGCAGTGGATGAGACGCGAGAGCTGCGTGCACGGGCGTGTGCCAGTGTGGTGAATGCAGTTGCCTCTGCTGCTCTTAGTGGCTGCGGTGATCGCGCGAACCCAATTAATTCCATGCGGCGTACACACAGTCACACACACACATACAGTTACACACACACATACAGTCACACACACATACAGTCACACACACATACAGTCACACACACACATACAGTCACACACACATACAATCACACACACACATAAAGTCACACATACAGTCACACACATACAGTCACACACATAAAAATAGTCATTCGTGACGAGCAAGTCTGACGCGCGGCGTGTAAATCGTGAGCGAAAGAATGGATTTCATTCGCCGAATCGATGACTGAGCCAGTGGCGGGCTTCAGCAGGAGCCGCGTGGTGAATCGTTTTTGAACTGCTGCCGGAGAATGATCGAAGCGGCCAGTGGCGTGTCCGTGCGGTCCGCGGTTTTAGATTGGCAACCACATTCGCGCTGCGAGCTATAACCAACCGGCAGCGACCAGCGTGCTGAAGCACGGAAACCAGCCCCGCCGTGACTGACTCGGCATGCGGCGGAGGCCTTCGCCCAGCAGCAGGGGACTGACAAAGAAGGAAGGGGCTTGTGCATGATTAATGACAGTGGAGGTCTTCTCATGCGAGGATGCCGCAAGCGCTGCCTGTGCGGGAACAACATCTGCGTGCACACGCCACGTGTCCCCAGGCGCGCTCGCTGTGCAGCAGGCGGCTTCGCCCTCAGGGCCCCATCACCTCCGCTGCCGCTGCTGTGAAATCACCGACATGAAGAGAGCAGCAAATGCTTCCAAATAACAACAACAACAACTGCTTGTGCTGTAAGCCACTGTGCGACCCACGCACAAATCCATAGCGAAGGCTTAAATTCACGATTGCCATTCCTATGCGGGAGGGTGGGGGAGTGGTCAATGAATGTTTGCGTAAAGGGCTCCTGTGATCAGAAATCGCATCTGCTGCGAGGGCTTTAGCAGCTTTGCAACGGAATCTGTAAAGTCACACTCGCCCCAACAACAGCGCAGACAATTGGCTGTGGAATTGCGTTGATGAGCTTGCTGCTTTGTCAAAATGCAATTTGCGTCGTGCATTAGGAAAGCTTTCCCCAACGCACGTGTGTGCGTACCTGTGTTCTCAATCGCAGTGTGATGTGTTGACGATGGTGAGGTTGTGGTCAGTGCCTTGCGACCAAACCATCCGGAATGCCCCGAAGCGGCCTGATATCTGACCTGTGCTTTTATTGGAAGTGTATCATCGGTGTGCGTGTATCAGAACTTAATTGGTTTTTTTTTAATGCTCTACTGTGCAGCCAGCAGTGGATTGACCATGGCTGATGATGATGAAGCAGCGAATACAACAAATACTATAACCCACGGCTAAATGCGGTGCCTTTTCTGTCCACACATTCTCATCGCGTTTATGTTTCACCAGAAGGTGGCAGACGTCCACGCAGCCATTGGTGCTACCGTACTCTGCGGAGTATGAGATGCACCAAAATGTAAGATTCGCCCTAAAACGGGTATCAAGGATCAACGACGTTGCTGCACATCTTGTCACGCGCGCGCACACACACGATCCAGGGTGGTCGGAGCGTTTGTGGTCATGAGAATACGTTAGTTCTTCTCGCGCTTGTTTACAAAGAGGCTCCCGGCAGCTGGAACGAAACGTCGGACACCATTCCAAACGAACACGACCCCAACAAATACAATAGAGAAACCCGTTGTCGTTTCACTTTCTCCTTTCCTGTTGCTCGTGTTGGTTTTCGTTTTGTCCCGAACGTTGTTGTTTTGATTTGTTGGCGGTGGCTGCTGGTGACGATCAATCACGAATAATAGTCACGTGGTTCCGCGTGCGTTGGCGCTCGCTGTAAGTGAACACGATGGGAGTCATCATCGTGGTGCTACATTGGCCGCATCATCGCGGGTTCGTTCTGACACCACTCGTTGTGTCACTGGACCGGTCAACCTGTTCAGGGCTCGTAGTTTAAACCCTTGATGTGTTTAAATGTTTTAAATGGTAAAACTAAAAGTTTAGTTTTAATCATTTGCTTAGATTTCGTAAACCTTGCACTCCTATCGTGTTTTCTTATTGTTTGTTCTAACTTTCTGACACCACCCTCCTGGACATCTGTGAAAAATATCTTCATAGCTCATCGGATTCCTCCAACAGAGATCCTAATTATGATTCTGAAATGTGTGTCCCAAACCAGAATACAGAAACCAGCACACGTGTTCCATCATCAGTGAGCAGTGAGTGAATTGTGTGTGAGTGAGCAGTGAGTGAATTGTGTGTGAGTGAGCAGTGAGTGAATTGTGAGTGAGCAGCGATTGAATTGTGTGTGCGTGAGCAGTGAGTGAATCGTGAGTGAGCAGTGAGTGAATTGTGTGTGAGTGAGCAGTGAGTGAATCGTGAGTGAGTGAGCAGTGAGTGAATTGTGTGTGAGTGAGCAGTGAGTGAATTGTGTGTGAGCAGTGAGTGAATTGTGTGTGAGTGAGCAGTGAGTGAATCGTGAGTGAGCAGCGATTGAATTGTGTGTGAGTGAGCAGTGAGTGAATTGTGAGTGAGCAGCGAGTGATTTGTGTGTGAGTGAGCAGTGAGTGAATTGTGTGTGAGTGAGCAGTAAGTGTATGGAAGCAGTGTGATTCGTGAGCAGTGTGAGTGAATCGAGTGTGAGCAGTGTGTGTTTGCGTGTGAGAGGGCCACTGCGCGTGCCATTTGCGAGCGAGCAGGGGGGAGGGGGCAGCGTGCGATTTGCGTGTGCTTGGTGTGCGTTAAGTGCGTCACCCTGTGGAGAGTACCTCTTTGGGCGGCTGGTGCGTTGAATGCACGTATAACATTGTGCGTCCACGTGTAAAGTGGGGGGGGGGGGGGGGGTGTCCCACCGCACGTGTCACGCGCTTGCAGTGCGCGTGACTCGAGGGGGCGTCTCGCGTCGAGTCTCGTCAGAGACGACGAGACGGCGCGTCGCAGCGGAATCGATCGACCGTGATAATTTCCCTCGCTGTTGCCGCCTTCGCGTCTCTTCCACCCAGGATCGTGCTTCCTGGGCGCGACGCACATCATCCCCGTGAAGAACGAGGAGGGCGATGTTGTCGTCTTCATCCTCGACTTCGAGGAGGTGTGCGATGCCGAGAGCCCGGAGCTGGAGAGCCGGAACCAGCGCGCCATGGGCTGGGCCAAGTTCCCTACGTGTGAGTGGGCGCACGCCTGGCACGGGTGGGAGAACAACGAGCTGAGTGTGGCGGGGGGGGGGGCAGTGGGGGAGGTCGCGGCACGAGTGGCGTCGCTATCGAGTGTGCAGGCAGTGCAACTGCGCAGAGCCCCCCCCCCCTTCCCCCAGTGGCCAAAGGCTCATCCAGCCACGGGCGCTACGAAGGGGGGAGGGAATGGCACAAGGTGGTGGGGGGCTTATTCCGAATTTACTTCCTTGCACCGGGAGCCATGATGACCAAAGTAGACCAGTGGGCGGCACCGTTTGACCAGCGTGGGAGAGGGATAGTGGCTCCACGGCAGGGGAGTTGGGGCTCGAGGGGAACGTGCCCTCACTCTCTCGTGTGACGAGCGATGCTGTTCAGGTGACTCTGCTCAAAGCGTCGTGCATTGCCACAGGGGTAGCTCCAGGGCTGAATCTGTCTGGGTCAGCTACGGGGAACTATTTACACGCTGTGCACACCGCGTCCAGCACAGCACTCGCTTCATCTGTGGTCACTCGTCACGGCGCCTGCACGAGTCCAGCAGAGGGCCGGGAAGGATGCGGCCAGTGATTGAGCTCTGGATAGCTCTGAATGGAAATGTGTTTGTCTCAAGACAGCGCAATTTAATATGAGCATCATTTAATTAATAACAGTGTCGGTCATGGGGTCTGTTTGACCATACTTCACCACGCTGGTCAGTGCTGGCCGGTGAATCGGGGAGGCCAAGGACTAGTTCAGATATCACTCGTCGTGCTAATGCCAGCCATGGCCGGGAATCATCCACAGGCCTCCTGGTCGATAGCGAGGGCCCACAGCCATTGCCACTGATACATTTGGGGAAGACGCAACTGGTGTGGCTGTGGCTCGCGCGACTCGCCAGGTGCGGAGCAGGCGCTCAGCGTCGGCAGTGCCGGCTCGAGTTTACCGCAGCTGCCGCACTTTCAGTGGCCCAAAGTGACACACCGACAGTGACACGCCGACAGTGACACGCCGACAGTGACACGCGGTGCCCAGTCAGGATGTGAGCAGGGCGCAGGCAAGAGAGATGTGCGCCAACATTGGGACAGATCTACATGAACGTTTATTGTCGAGCACTCTGTTTAGCCGAAGGCTCAGTTTGTCCTCTTAGAGGCCAGATTAGATTAAGAACGCACATCACTTCCAATAAAGCTTCCTCTTTTTTGACAACGTGGAATAAGCTCGCCGCTGCCGCTGACAGCAACAATGACAATGTCTGTATCGTCTAAATGTTTCGTTCGAGAAGGTCAAATGAGCTTTGAGGGGGGGGGGGGGGAGTTGTGCTTTTTCAGAATCAAAATATTTAGAGTTGAGGAATCCGATGAGCAATAAAGCTCTTTGTCACAGATGTCCAGGAGGGGCGGGTCATAACGTGACCAGGTAAGGCCCACTGAGCTGTTCGCTTCTTTCTCATAAGCGACCTGGCCACAAATGATAGCTCAACGAAGTGGCTTACCATCATGTGGACATTTATAGCAGCCACATACTCCAAATAATCTAGACGCGTTGTGCTGGGCCAGGTGAGAGGACGCACACGCAGGAGAGAGAGGAGATAGAGGAGCCCGAGAGGAACTAGAGAGGAGTGAGAGTGCATAGCCTGGCCCAGGGTCGGCGAGGTCAAACGCAGGAGGATACAGTAACCGGGGCTCAACAGCAACGAGCCCCAGGGGTAACGCGTGGACCCCAGCACCGACAACGATCTCCCCAGGGGCATCCAGGGGCATCCAGGGGCAGCCGGGGCAGCACCAACGAGTCCCAGGGCGGTCTCGGGGGACCCAACGGCACCATTCACCGCGTGCTGACACTGGGGCCGCATCGCCCGCACATTGCAACATCGAATATCCCCCCCCCCCCCCCCCCCACTTGAAAAAAAGTCACCTTTCCACGGCTGGTGTTCAAGTTATTCGAGAATTAGTTGACCTGGATTAAACTTATCCGGTCGATTGCTATAATTCACTCCTGCCATGGGAATGTGGAATTTCTATTGACTCACTCGGGGTTATAAAGAGGGATGAGCGATGGTCCACATGCTGTTGAGTGGTAGCTCACACTTTAGTATCCGAGTTCTTCACATCCTCAGAACAACTATTTATAACAATAGCTATACTGATGTAGCTGTCAATTAGCCTGGTCGCCATGTGCTCTAGCGAGTAGAACATGTAACAAGGTAGATTCATTAACATCGCCCTCGGTTCTTCTCTCCCGCTTTCTGCACGGGCAGAAACGTAGCGCGGCTGCTGCTGCTGCTGCTAAGTCAGCGTGATGAGAAAGTTTTCTCCGGATTTCATTCTAATCGTCTCCTTGTCTCGAATTTTAATAGCCTATAACCTTCCAATTACAGAGCAATGTGTACGGCAGCAGCGTCAAAGACCCTCTCCGCTGCCGCGGGAACATTCTGCCGGAACGGGCGTGAGACGCGGGGAGCCGCTGGCAAGATTGTCAGCGCGGTATGCCGCTCGGGGGAAACGTTTCTAGATGTCACTGGGATGTTACGAGTGGCTGATCAAAGATTATTGCGAGACTGAGAAGGGAAAACACGGCAACGCCGCTTGGGTTAGATTAAAGTAGCGCTAAGTTAGAACGGGCGGCTTTAATCGGAAGTCGCGTTGAGATGTAAAGTGATCCATTCAGCTGACGTTTAAAAGTCTCAATCTCATTCCTTTGTGAGAAACTACTTGGCTTGCTTTGAGAGAATGTGTAAATGTTCACCTGTGTGTTCACCAGGACCCACAGCTGCGTGTGTAGTGTTGTAGTGTGTATGTGCGCCCGTGTCCGTGCGTGGTTTAGTCAGGCTCGTCTCCAGAATGTGCATTTTACGTCTGTAAGCATTCGAACAATTACATTCTGAATGGATTAATGTGTGTACAGAGTGTCTAATTAAATGTCTAATTAATTTTCGACAATCCCATTGTGGCTGTGTAATGCACACACACTCACATTCATGAACGTTGTGGTGACTCAATGAGACCTCAGTGAAGTGTGGAGTGTTGGAGGCCTGCAGATGCATTTTCACCAAACATGATTACTTAATCACCAGAATGTGCCCGGTCTCGTCAGATATCAGAAGCTAAGCAGCGTTGAGCCTGGATAGAGCTTGGATCGGCATAAAACATGTGTGTTGCTGTCGGCTGTGGTAGCGTGAAGTCAGCCGAGGGCCGTGCAGCAATATGTCTCACACTTCAATATCGATGCTACCCACGTGCACCAATCCACACGACTGACGTGGCGACATGCGGTCAGATGCTGGACATCCGTGCAAAGAGCTTCATAGCTCATGGGATTTCTCCAGGATGAGTAAAGATTCTGAAACAGCCCTCACCACCTCCGGCAAGCGGCCTGAGCGCCGCGGGTGCCGAGTCCCACGACGGCGCTCACCACCGCCGCCCTTTCCCTGCAGATTCTGGGCTGCCCTTCCGGCTGGGGCTCCCGTCCCTCCGCGCGCTCTCCGGCAGCCGGCGCTCGCTGTCCCGCCGCGACCCCGAGGCCGCGGTCGCTTCGGCCCTGAGCGGCGGCGGCGGCGGCGGCGGCGGGGAGAGCCCCGAGTCGATGGCCATGGTGGCGAGCGTCAGCCGCCACCGCTGCTCCGGCAAGGGCTCGGACGCCGATGTCACCACGCCGCTCAACCTCAGCCCGGACGCCGTACCCACGCCCGGCGGACGGAAGACGGCGGCGGCGGCGGCCGCGGGAGAGGAGTCCGGGTCGCAGGCCGAGATGGAGGTGGGGCCCTATCCGTTCCTCCGCTGGAACCGCGACCGCCTCGCCGTGGGCCATCCCCTCAGGGGCTCCAGCTCCAGCCTCACGCGCTCCAGGTACCGGCTTGTGCTCGTCGCCATGGCTGCCGTTCCCCTCCTTTCTTGACCCATGCAGTTCACGTCTTGATGGCGTTTTTCTGTTCTGGTGAGTTTTTCGATTGAAGTGAATGTTCTGCGAAGGCGGCTGTGTTGGTCACCCGCCGCGTAGCGAGAGCAGCTGAGCTCTGATTTCATGCCCACTGTTGTGATGATGATGCCACGCAAATATTCCGCCTTCTCCAACATCGATTCCCAAAGGCGCTCGCCTCTAATGTGGCCATCAGATTGTGGGACAGAGAATTGGTCCGTAAGTGTGCGCCTGTGAGTGTTATCTCTACTTGCTATGGCCGCGAGATTTTCTCTGGGCAACATGAGAACAGGCCAAACGTCTCAATGCAGAACCCTCTTCAAAAACTCAAATTTAGTCATTATTATGATTACTTGAGTAACAGAATGGCCAGTCGTAAAAAAAATCTACCCAGCTATGTTCTATGTACTGCATGTTGAACTTTTTTCGCACCGTACATAGCCAATCGCGCTAATCGAAGGTGCGGGAGAAGGACAACAAACTGAACGCAAAAAGCAGCTGTACAGAAATTATTTTTCAATCTGGATCTTACAAATGCATATCTCCAGTGGCTTTCTAAGAAAGGGCGTTCCAGATGGCCGCAGAAGCGCGCATCTGAAAGCGCGCGACGCGGCGATGGCGCGGGGCGCGGGAACCACCGCTGTGAAAACGACCGCTTCTCAGCAGGCTGCTCGCGTGCGCGCCGTCCGTTGTGCCAGGTCACGCGAGAGCGTGCGGAGTTTACGACGAGCTTCCTCCGTCGACGACGTGGAAATTGGGGCGTGGGGCGACAGGGTCAAACGGAGCTTCCACACCCGCCACTCCAGCTCCGGTAAGCGATCACATCATTAAACGTAATTTTTTTAGAAGAGTTTTTTTTTTAGGTTATCCTTTCATGGTTATTCAAGCGATTTGACATTAAATTGGACGGATGATGTCGGTGGCGTGCGAATGAACAGGAGGTTGCGCGCGCGTTTTGATGGATGACTGGATCACGGGTGATTGTCTCTCTATTGGGCCGCTGTAAAAGAAGCTATTGGAGTAAAGTTCACCCGGGGTCACGCGGTAAATCGTAGCCGTCATCAACTCGTCCCCCGGCAAGCGCCACTCCGGTCCGTGCCGGGACGCGATGGGTCAGCGTCGTGCGACGGCACTTTTTTTTATTCCACCCGGTATGCACCAGGGGGGAGGGGGGGGCGCTGTCAATCCACTGGCCTCGCTGGGGACGGCGTGAGCGCCGTGACAGCCCCGGTGAATGAGCAGAGAAATGTGGCCCATTTCACATTATCGGAATCACCCGCGCGTGTCAAAGGGACTACGTCTGACTGATGTAACTTGTGCAATGCTAGGGCGGCACACACCGCAGGCACGTTCACTTCAAAAGATCCTTATGCATTGTGGCTCGACTCTATTAATAGTCCGTATCATGGTTAGTCGAGTTAAAGAGGGCATCACGGCCAGTACCGTTGATGCCACCGCACCTCGCCATTGATTTCCTCCTCCTGAGAGCTTTTGCGCAACGAACACGTGACCTCCAGCAGCTCTCCTTGCTCACCACCACCACCGTCTCTGGCTTGAGGCCTTCCCAGAGGTCGCTGGCCTCTGGGAGCCGCTCCAATGCCCGTCCGGCTAACCTGCCCTCCTCCAGCACCTGCGCTCACGTCCCATCGATCACAGCCTCACAGCGTCGTCCTCCAGATTACATCTACGGCACCCTCCTGCCGATGTGTTTTCGGGCTGTGCCGCGTGTTGTTCGGCACCGGAGAGCCATACAACACAACCGCGAAGGCCTTACGCAGTGGAACTTTCCTTCCACGTCCTCTTCCGAACTTTCAAGTTGCACCCTCCGCATGGCGTGCGCCGTCGGCACGCGATTACCAGGTAAGCGATGCCCCTTGGCAGAGCCCATGTGGGTGAGCCGATAACATCGGATAAGACACCTGACTCTGCGCGGTCAGGTTTGGTTCAGCTCGGGTGAAGGTGGTGTTCATCATTAAGGGCTGCGTGCACTCTCCTCACCTTCCCCGTGATCGCCGCCGGAGATAAATAATGTAGCCCACGTGCTTCTGTCTTCCATGCATAATGCACCAATCGAGTGCAGCCTCTGCATATTTTATGTCAGGTTCTTTGACGGATTTTACGGATATTAATGGCCACTTGAAAGTCAATCCCCAACGGGAGCATGAAGGTGCACCGCAGTTCACCGACCCTTCGCAGAAAAACCACAGCCACTGCTCTCGCAGACCCCTGGGAGTTTTAATGACGTGTGCATGCAAATGAGGTATGCACCGACTCACCCCCACTCACCCCAGAAACTTGATTTGGGGCCATGACACAGGGTCACGGGGTTTTATTTATTTATTTAATATGTTGTCCCATTTGTACAATTCCGTTTGTACCCTCTCTGGCTTCATTCTCGTCTCGTTCACACGGTTTTGTTTGTCCCATGAGCCTGAACGTGACATCGGGTTATAATACGCAAATAATGATAAGCAATCGCCCATAATCGATGTTGCGCACGTGCAGTTTCGACACGTGTGTCGTAAGAATCGATTTCAGAGTGGGCGAATCGACGCATCGTTGCTCGCCGTCTGAGAGCGCGTGGGGCGTTCCGAGGTGAGACGCGGCGGTGGCGGCGGCGGCGGTGGTGGCATCGTCAGGTCGCTGGGCTCCCGTCGGCCACTCTTCGACCGGGAGAGCAACAGTTGGAGAGCAGACGTCTCTCTTTTTAAATCCTTTATATTAAGTTCGCTTGCTTGCATGCTTGCTTGCGTGCTTGCTTGCGTGCTTGCTTGCTTACGACCTGTGCAAATCTTTCGGTCGTTTTTTAACCCACTTCCCGTGATCCAATCGAGCTGACATTTTGCACACAGACTCGTTGTGCCAGACAATTAATGTTCGTGAAAAAAAATTTCCAAAATTTTACACTGTTTAGGGAAAAATAATAATATGTAATTACCAATTGCTTAATGGTGGTAGACAATCATCTGACCCATAGGTGGCAGCTATCTCAAGCCAGAGGACGAGAGGACTCTAGCCGCCCGTTTCATGATGACGCAAATGTTGACTAACCACATGGCATGAATTCCCTGCCCCCACGCTGTACAATGTTGACTATTTATAGAGCAGTTACATTGAAGCCGCCAGGTTCTTGAAAGTGGTAAAACGGGTCAACGCTAGTGCCCTCGGGAATATATGGGGCATGTCAAGAGGTGATCTTACATATAAAGGATTTATAGTGAAAAACTTTGTTTTTATGGGTTAATTTTTGTCGATTAGGATCTGGCATCGGGCAGGGAAATGCAGGACTACGGCAGTCGCGCGCACGCAATGTGTCCACTTAGCGATGAACAGTTAAATGCAAAATAACCTCAACAAGGCTCGCAAGAAAATGAAACAATGAACACACGAAAAGTATGAAAGACACATAAACGAACTAAGGAGAATTGAAATTAAAAACCTGCCAACCAAATGAGTTAGACAACAATCAGAAGTGAATTGCATAAGAGTATGCTGCTTATCAATGCAAAACTAAATATTCAAAACAGAAGAAAATAATGAGACTAAATGCCGATCAGACCAGCGAGAGACAAGAATCGTGGCAAAACCCATCAATTAGCGTGGACAAATGTCAACAAAGTGAACAATAAAAACCAAAACAAGGCAAAGTAAAAAATCAGTCGGCGGCCAAGTGAGACGGTGATCAGAAGCAACTGCCAGACAACTGCTGCATGTAACTTCCCCAGTCAAGCGTTCAAGGTTTCCGCGTGGCACAGCCCTGCGTCGTCAGCGCAGGGCGCCCTCCTGCTCCTGCTCTGACAGGAATTGGGTTTTTTCGCGACTGAAACTGCCCGCTTCCTTGGTTCGCGAACAAAATTGGTTTCTTTTGGGTTAAAAATGTGTGTCGCAAACCCTCCTCCACCCGACACGGTCAGTTAATAAAAGAGTCACGTGACTCAAAGGAGACAGATGTCTTACTGCTTCGGCAGCGCCACCTGTGCTGTTGTTGTTGTTGGGGAGCGGTCTCACAACATCTAGACTGGGTCCATCTCGAGATGTAAGCTCCCGTTAACAACCTGATGGTGCTGGATGTGGTCTCCAGCGAAACTTCTGCAGCCACTTCAGCGTCGTTGACATTCCCCTCCAAGAACAACAACAACAACACAACAACAACAACAACAACACCACAACAACAACAACGCCGGTGGTGTGCTGCTGAAGCAGTACGACATTTGGCAGCTTTGATTCGCGTGACGCTTTTATTTAGTGGCCGTGTCGGGTGGAGGACGGGTGACGACACACAATTTTACTGACACAACCTTAACGCCCATAAAACTATTATAAATCATATTGGCCGTGAAAGCCTACGTATGAAATGTAACGAGGAAATCTAATTTGTAATCTGTAATGCCTTGCCGACGGTGAATCAGGCCTCAGTGTTTGTAGGAGGGAGTGCAAGACTCATTATTTTCTCATGGCTTTTACTTCAAAATTATTTGATTGTCTTCGCATGTTATTTTAGTGTACAGTGTGTTGATACCCACTTGAGTGGGGGTGATATTACATTTAAAATAAATACGGTGTACATATTAGCTTTTTTTACATTACATTTCATTTCAACAGGAAGGCCTCAATGAGCTGTAAGTTTCTTTCACGGGTACCTTGCGAGGGTACAGATGTTATACAGCGCAGCTGTTAGTTACAATCATTGTTACACAGCTCGCGATACAGGCGGCGAGCATCGGTACACGTTACAGGAATCGGTCGTAAACATTAAAAAACGTGACAAAATTATTTTGCAAAGGAAGGGCAAGAAATTATGATTTGACAAAGCGAAGACAATCAGTCAACTGGAACCCCAAGTACCATCCACACAGACTGCGGCTCACGCGTGTCTGCCGATGATTTGCCTCAGCGACTTCTATGGAGGAACTTGAGTGTGCGGAGTGGACCAAGATGAAAGAGTCTCTCGCTCTTCTTCACTCGACAGTTCTTTGGCTCGAGCAGCTCCTTCCGTCCTGTCCGAGTCGAAGCTTCGTGTAGGAAAATTCAGAATAAAAATTACGAGGATGTTTATTTATATATTTATAAAGAGATGTTGGAGGCTGGAACGGGCAGAGTTGTGGAAGCTGATTCACCGGGGGACTTTTCAACAAACGCCTTGATGAGATTCGTGATCAATATCGCGACAAACAAACCCAGCAAGCTCATTGGTTCAGCAGGATGCCCCCCTCCCTCGTCTGTAACCCTCGTCGTGTCCCTACGTTCTTGTGATCTTCAGCTGTCTCCTTCATTTCACTCGATAGACTCCTTCTAGTGAAGTCTTCAAGCAGCGTCGTTCTACCTCTTGGCCTATTTCCCCCCAGACCAACAACACAAATGTTGTCGCCACCCTTAATTAACCTACGTTCGCGGGTTTTCAGAAATGCTTTGTGACAAGACATCTGCCGACGGGCCGTTTTTGTTGGCGCACACATGACCAACATGACCAAAGGTTTCCAGATCATGAATTTGAAAACATTCGGACATTCATTCCTCACACGGTGCTGGCAGCGGTGCACAAGCACAACAACGTGCAAAACACCCGCCACGAACTCTGCCCCAAATCGCCCTCGTGCACAGCGTCATCTGTGTGCTCTGAAGAAACGTCGCCGATTACACGCAGACGGTAGGGGAGAGTTATTGACGAGTGTGTTGGGTTTTTGATACAGTCGAGGGGGGGGGCGTGATGAGAAGCGCCTGCGGCTGCTGTGGCGTGGCAATGGAGTGTGCAGGCGGTGCAGCTGCGCCGCCTGCACACACGGCTCCGAGGGGCCCAGGCACCGGGCTGCCGAGAGGAGAGGGAATAGGTCGGAGGCCCCCATTGCATCCCCTTGCACCAGGGCCCGTGCCATCCGCGCTAGGACACTGCATTGCGCATAAGCCACTGCTCACAGCCGTCACCATCATGGGGGTGGTAAATTACAAGGTACAGGAGTAGATTATTGATTATTATTATTACGATTATTTTTCATTGATTACAAGTTCATTTGAAAGCAGAAGGAAAAGCAGCATCCTTTTAGCCACAAAGTGATTATTCTACTAGCCACTGTGTCGTGATGCATCATCGTAGCCGACGAGTGAAAGTCGTGCCGTTCGTCTCCCCGCGCCGCGCATGGCAGTCCCTCGCTGTTGGCCTTCGCGTGGTCCGCGTTCACGCCCCTGCGCCTGCAGCCTTGCCACTGACTCACGTTCCCGTTTGTATCGTTGTTGTTTCAACGTCTTATCGATACGCAGTTGCGAGCGCTCTGCATGCTCAATGTCGGACTTCTTTCGCACCGTACGTGGCCGACTCCGTGAAGCGGCGTGCCGGCGGCGTCCGCGCGAGCGCGGAGTTGGCGAGTGAGCGGCTCCCACTTTCCGCACGCGTCGCACTCCGCCGAGGCCAAACGGGTCGCGTTTGGTTTATTGTTTTTTTGTTTCACCTCTTCCGTAATGGACGTGAACAATAACGGGCCTTGAGTTTTTGCGGCTTGAGGTCGTCCGTTCTAATCAGTGCTCCAATTAAAATGTGCAGTTTGCACCCTGCAATATTAATCTAACCTATTAGAGATGCGTATGATGTTATTATAATGCAATTAACATTGTTAGTTCATGCAACATTTTTTAAAGCGAATAAAGACAAAAAAAATTATTTCAATTACGCTCAGATGTATTGTGCGTTTGTTTACATGGACGGAAGTGTTATCTCTTGGTTATTCATAATTATAATTAAGTATAAGTTAATTTGCAAAAAAAAACTAATTGGCGCCCTTCCAATCCACGAAATGGTTTTAATGGCAACTGGGGCAATGTCCCATTTCATGTTCAGAATTATTTTGTATCTATTCATTAATTATCAGCGTTCAGATGCTGCAATACAGCGATTGTATCGAAACAACCAATGCAAGCGTGTAAAACTAACAAGATGCAAATACGTGAACTTGCATTGCAGTTAGACTCCAAATTGTATTGCTTTGTATGATTTTAAGGCCGCCAAAACATAATTAGTGCAAGAATGATCCTGGACGGCTGGTTCGAACACAGCGGCCTGCGGATCACGTGACGCCACCACCAGTCTGCGCCTCGCTCAGTTCCACTCACGCGTTTCTCGTTTCTCGTTCACATTTTCAATGCCCCCCCGCCCGTCCCCGCCTACTGCCGCGACTCTGACCCGTGCCAAAGTGGGGGCGGCGGAGGGCGGCACGGGCAACCACGTGAAGCCGCCGCTGCTCAACTCGACGTCCGACTCGGACCTGATGCGCTACCGGGCGCTGAGCAAACTCCCGCAGCTCACGCTCAACTTGGCCGAGCTGCACACGGGCGCCTCGCCCGTGTCGCCGCCCACCTCGGAGCGCCGCCTCATCGCCCCGCGCGTCAAGGAGCGAACGCAGAACGTCACCGAGAAGGTCACCCAGGTGAGCGAGCGACGTGGCGCGCCTGCAGCCGTGCGGTGGGGCGCTGCGTCGCAAGTAGCAAGGCCGAGCACCTCGCCTGGTATACAGGAGGTTGTGGGTTCGATCCCGACCCTGAAGTTTGCCGTATATTATGAGTTTGCATGTTCTCTCCGTTGTCGTATGTATTTTTCTCCGGGTCCTCCGGTTTTTCCCTCCGCATTTAAAAACACGCGTTTAGAGTTTTTAGCTCCTGCTATAAATTTCCACGTGACAGGCCACTTCGTTGAGGTATCATTTTTGGCCAGGTAGCTTCTAAAAGAAACAGCTCTATTACTCAGTGGGCCTTGCCTGGGGATTTCTTTTTTATAGTTTAGAGCGCCGCACGTTTTACAGCTGGTAGCAGAGGTTCGCGGTTAGCACTCCAGGGCAGGCCTGGTTAATACTGCGGCGGGCACGTTAAACGTTCGAAACGCACGCCGCGTCTGCTTCACATGCGAGTGTACAAGATCCGATGACGTCTGAAAAATAGTCGCCCATGGTCCACATTTGGCCAAAATACAAAATACTCGATGGAAAATTAGAGCAACATCGCCCCCTACTGCGAACCTTGGCGAGACCCCCTTAAAACCTACTACCGAGACTCGGCGAGTGAGGCATTCCTGGGTAAATAAATACGGTAACGTACTTTGACAAACCCAGGAACATGAGTAAAGGATTGTCAAATCACCCTTTCAGCTTGGGGAGGCCATCGTGATTAGAACAAGGAATGGACCAAATATCCCAAGCGGTAAGCTTCTGCAAATGTGTCTTGGGACTCCGTGAGACTGTTAAAGAAACGATTATGAAGTGTCAGGCATGTCCACTAACATGAGTTTTATTTAACATTTTATATTTTACAAGCCCAACGCAATCAATCATTCTTCAATTACATTTTGTTTTCCATTTGTGAGTAATTTAATTTCATCGTCCATTAGCGAAAATTGCAGTTTGATTGTGTTATGCAGTAAGCAGAATGTTGCACACGGAGCGGCAGACGTGCATGGGAATACCGCACGAGAGGAACATATGGCGTTCCGTGTTGGCCAAAAACTACCGATGAAATTACGCAGCAGCAGCAGCCATGCACGTGGCAGTGGCCCCGCGCAGGGCTCATTGTCGCAATATAATACGTCCGCGATAGCAGCAGGAGGATGTCTATAGAGTATTGTTCGAGTAAACAGGCCTCTCTGCATCAACAACCAGTGGTGCACAGATACACAAAGGGGGCACACAATACCATGGCTCGTGTTGCATCGCTCGCGCGCGCGCGTCGCATCCGCACAGGTAGATTTACCTGGTGAAGCGTCCTGCGTGCGTGCAAATGGAGATGGATGATCATTGTCTCGTCGTTCCATGAGGATCTCTCTCGTCTCTCTCTTTGTGCCTCTCGAGTCTCACCACGCGCACGCGTGCGGAGATGGTAAACAATCGCGATTCGTTTCGCGTGGCTTCGACGCCGTCCCCGAGGCAGAATTTGGGAAACGTGAGAAGGCTGTGACACACAACGCATACTACAAAGACAAGATAAAGATCCCTCGGGTAGCATTCACTGACTTTTGGGGCAAGTGCTGTTCGCGAACTGTGAATCTCGGCATGGCACATGATTGGGTGGATGGCCATCATCACGCCCGGCCGCCTTTGTCTCCCGAGTAGCAATGTTCACACGCCACACCAGGTATTCATTTGAGGCGGAGTCGACCTGGGGAAGGCCCAGCACCGGTTCAGATCATTCTTCACCGGTGTTGGCCGTGGGTGGGAATCAAACTCGCCTCGTTGGGTGTGTAGTGCACCCCGCTAACTACGACACTACCACTCCACCCACACACATAGAGACACACACACATACACGTATGCATGCACACAAACACCCAATGCTCACGACTCCCTGCAGCCAATATATATTTAAACTGGTGACCAAAATAACTCAATTGATGGAAAAAATCCATCAATTTGCAGGGGGCTATGAATCAATGCTCGTGCGGTAGCGCGCGAAGCGTGGCCCGTGCGCGCTGCTGGTGGCGTGCACTCGTGCTCACGGGGGACCGCGCGGTCAAAGGTTGCGTCCTGGCTCTGAAAGCATCCCCTAGGAGACGCGGCCAAGCGGTTGAGCCGTTCGCCGCTCGTCGCAGAGGTTTCCCGGTTCGAAATCCAACAGCCGCGCTGGTTAATACCGCGGTGTGTGTACGAAGCGCAACAATAGTCGGCGCCGTCTGCTGCACAGTGGACGTCAAAGATCCCCCGTGCCGTAATTCGCAAGAGTGGAAACATTGCGTGCCAGCGTGATGGTCCAAGTTTGCTAAACTAAAACAATAAAATTACTCGCGAATCACTGAATTCAAATATGCTGTGTGTAGCCATCATCGCTGGCTGCTACGAAAACATGGCAGCTCCCGTCGGATAGCGAGTCACGAGACCCAGCTGAGGCTCCCAGGGTACAGGCGAATATATCTACATCGCACGATGGACCAATACGCGTGTAAAATTGCAACTCTGTCAGCAGAGGGCGATGGTGCCTTACGCATTCAGTGCTATATGTAAAAAACCTGATTCAGGAGCAAAGTCAATACCTCCATCTAATACAGACCATGCACATACAGACGTAATAGCGCTATGCGTGTAGATTGCTGTAATACTATAAGCGTGCATTATGCCCATCCGTGCTATAAACACTTTTCAATTTGACTGCAATGTTTTATATTCTGTTTCCAAAATGATATTCTGATTGAGCCACTGGTGTCGTACCCTAAGACAAAGACCTATGCAAGTGCAACTCCGGAAGCTGGCAGTGCATCACCCTGTGTCAGACAAAGGCCCCGAAAGATGACCCCTCACAGAACTACTTCTCAATCCACTTCACTCGGCCTCTTTATCCACGCTGGGACCCCCCCCCCCCTCGGCTCTTATTGTCTTGCAAAGTGTTCGTCCCGTGTCGATTAAATCCAAATCTGAGCTGGAATTTAGGCAATTTGAGCGAAACCTCAAACTCAATTTGTCAAATGTATTGGGTAGTCATTGTCGACCGAGCTAAAACCATGAAACTGGCTTCGCTTGAGAACGCGGATGAATCGCGTGCGGTTGAAAGCTGGATTCAAACCCAGGGTCTCCATGCTCTGAGCCACTTGGCCACCTGGAACCTTTCACACATCACCGACAGTGATCCTTTACGGAATCGGGCCATGCCATGGATATACACGGTGGCCCAACCATCGACTTCACGACGAATTAATGCGTTAACATTTACTTTGGCTGTGTATCTCTGATTTAAGCTGCAAATCATGCAACACAATGAAAGCAGGATTTAGATGTTATGCTGCGTCTAAATGCAACCACACCATACCAAATAGTGGGACGTGCATCACTTAGAGAAGGAGATGTGTGTGTATCCCCAACACTAATTTCTAAAGAAAAAATTGTACTTGCCAGAAGATAATCAACGGGTGATGAGCCTGGGCTACACAGGGACAGCATTGCCGACGGGCGGAAGGGAGTTGCAGGCTGTGGGGGCAGCAGAGGAGAATGAGAGACCTCCCGCTGAGCAAAGGTTGACTGGGTATTAGCACGTAGGAGGCTTTCGTAACCAATATCATCCATAATGGAGGTTTTTGGGTTAGATCGCGTAAATATATAAATGTGTCGTTAAACCCGCCACCACCTGACAAATCTGGCTGTCGCCTGATGAAGCTGGTTGTAACTACTAGCGAAACGTCGTACTCAGATTGTTAATGTTGTGGCTTGGCTCTCCAACACACCGGTGTGCTGTACTAGTGACGAATTGGCATGTTCTGTTTACGTGACAACTCTTACTAGTTGGCTGTGTCGGGTGGTGGCGGGTTTTAACGACACATTTATATATTTACGCGATCTAACCCAAAAAAATCTCTATTAGGAATGACTGGGGGCTTCAGAGTGCGAGGGGGCTGCGGACCTGTTCCATGACTAACAGATCAATGTTTTTTTGCTTGTTTCATCGTGTTCATTTAAACATGAAGCAATGTTTATATATAGAGAGATGTTACGTATATTTACAGACCTATTGCACAACTCTGTGTACGTTTTCCTCCCACGTACCGTTTGGGAGATGCAGAGCGTGACGGGCGGACACTTGCCAATTATCTATCGAGACAAATAGCTGGCACATCCTGAGTACAGCTACTCTTGTATTTGCTAACATTGTACATGTATTAATGATTGAGAACCAAAGGGGTGCAAGGCTGCAGTAAAGTAAAAGATGGGACTTCTATTTCTCCCTCCAGACAAGATCCTCTCACCAGCAGTGGTATGAGAAAAAAAAACATTGCAGGGCCTGCACCTGAACGAACACTCCCCCCCCCGCCCAGTCTCACGTCCCAATCCCTGGCGCACACGCAGCGCTCCCCCTCCCCTTATCCCCCCCCCCCACCGCCCTCTCTGCCTTATATAAACCCCTTAACTCCGGCATCTCTCCCACTTCAGTAAAACATTTTCTTGCTGTGGTTGTTACACCTGATGATGATTGCTTGTGTTGCAACCAAAACGTCGTAATTTAATAAAAGTTTATTTATTTATTTATTTTCACCTACGTGACTTTACCGAGTGGAACCAAAGAGTATGGATCCTTGCAGTCGCGAAAACTTCAAATCTAGAATTGCCCTGGTCTTTGTGTTGTTGCTTGTTGTTGATGTTCTTGTTTCGCCGCGCGAGCTCAGCTTGTGGCCGATTGCCTGGGCCACGTGGTGTGAGTTGGAGTTGCCCCCCCCCCCCCCCCCCCCCCCCAGATCGCTCGCCCCTCTCGCGTCCGCAGTATTTGGAATCGGCCCTTTGGGACGACGAGCGGGCCGGGGCAGCCCGAGTAGCAAATGTAGCTACATATGTAGTAGCGACAGGCCCCGCGCTTTGAAGAGCCCCGCGCTAAATGCTTTCAAGCTATCAATTCCGGTTCAGTGATTCTGCACTTGCTCTATTACTATAGTACTATACTGCCTTCAACTTTCATGAACGACTGG